AAGTTCTGCGCTAAAATACTATCATATTACTATTACTACAACATTTCTATCTGTCGCTTTTTTCTTAATTTCACAATATTTTTAGTTTAATTTTTTTTCCTAATTTATTTTTTTAGTTATCTTTTTTTTTTCAAATCGCCTGATAACCAACTTCGGATAATTTCTTTTATTTAAAAATCCCACGGTTTTCGTTAGTTGGGTTATATTCCACTTCAAACTGCTCAGTTTGCCTCGGAAAATCCCGTTTTTACCCCATTTTCAAACGGTTCACTAGGGGTCTGTGGGAGGTCCCCAAGGGGGGGGTGGGACTTTCCGTAAAGTGGCGACTGTCCCCTTTCGAATGATGGGGGTTTGGGCGGCCAGGCCCCTTCCCCCTCCGCCCCCAACCCCAAAAACGATGGGCCAATAACTAAACATTTCCCGTGAGCTTAGTCTACGAACCACATCACCTTTAGATCGCATGCCAGACACATTATGAAAATAGATTTGCAGCTCATTCGCAGGTTTAACATTTACTAGGCTGGTTACAAAAGGTTTATGAATAATATTTTCCGCTATTAGTATGATAAAGTCTTTACAAGCATTTCATAAGTTTAACAGCCTAATTCATAAAACAAACTTAAAATGCTTTATAAACTTATAATAGTAAAGGCACAATCTATTTTTAAAGTAAGCACTATTGTTAAAGTAAGCACTATTCATAAACATTTTATAAGAGTTTTGTAACTACAAAATATTTGTAAAGCCTTTGGTGTCAAAACTCGAAATAAATACGGCAGGTTTGGCTAGAAAAATGTCAATACCTTTTCAGTCAGTTGAAAAAAAATAATATAAACATTCATTTGTTGGAAATATAAGGTGCAATCCCGTATTCCTCGGACTCGGACTAGTAAAACTGTCAAAAAATAAAAATTCGTTTAGAGCGAGAGAGTAACATTGAAAAGTACGGGATCGCTTTCTAGTAAAAAATGGTAACTTCTGTCAACTTCAACATAACCTCCAAATTTTGGTTGTAAATTTTTGCTTATTTTGTATGTAAACACACTCAGTTCACACATGTAAATAACCAAAAATACTTTAAAATTCATTAGAATCCACTTAAACAAATAATTAAATACTTTGCAACATGAATTAGCAGAGTGCACTTTTCCTTTGTTTACAATTTGGTTGCCAAACACACTACAGCTGATCGTTTGACACATTTACCAGAATTTACCAGCAAAAAATTCTCGGACTAAAACTGGTAACTTCTGACAGAGAGAGAACCGAATTTACTCTCTTTTTTGTCCTCTCAATAGTCAGAGAACCGAGTACGGGATCGATTTCCAGTAAAATCTGACTGATTCTGACTATTTCTGACTAGTCCGGACTCGTACGGGATCGCAACTATAATTTAACTAAGCGCTTTAGTTATATTAGCAATGGAGCAAAAGATACGGAACAGGGGGGGGATAATTGGACTGCGGACTGTGGATATAAAATATAATTCATTGTGTTTAAATAATTTTTAAGGTTTTGCTTCAAGAATTAGTTCGTGAACGGGTGAAAATTATTGAAAATAAGAACACGGATACAAACTCAAATAAGGCGAAACAAGAGGCCTAGAGAGACTTACAAGAGAGGTACGTACAACTTAATATTCATGTTCATACGTATTTCTTTACATTGGGAAATATCCTTTGCTCAACATTTTGTCTTGCAGCTTCAGTGAGATATGTGCAACTAAGCGAACTGTGATCCAATTGAAATCAGAGTGGACTATTGTGAAAATGACGGCAAAAAAAGCGAAGTCGAAAGAGAGGCGTGAACTTTTGAAAACTGGCGGTGGGGCGCATACTGTTGCTGAACCATTATCAAACGAAGACATCTCCGTTTGGCAGCCAAATGAGTTTGTTGTCAACTTCAATTCATTTCAAATCAGCAGGTAAATATTGTCAAAATCTGCGGCATAGTATTGCATAGTTTAAATATATTTCCAGGTTGTAGTATTGGAAGAATCCTTGCCCATACAAAATAGCGCCGAATTGGAGGGATGCGAAAAAAGTAATATCGAAGCAGACGCAGTGGAGGTAATGCAGGAAGCAGACATCGTTGGCTCTAGCCAAGATAATGTTGAAAATATAAAGACACCATCTCTTAATACTAGTAGGGCAACTAAAAAGCGTAAGCAGGTAACTTATGCCGTTTATCTTTGATAAAAACAGTGGCCCTTATTGCGAATTTCTTGCGAACAAATATTTCCAAAAATTATATAGCAAAGCAAAAACAAGTATTCCCCATTTATTTTTGATTTGCCTTAAATTATAGGAACGATTTATTCACATTGAATTGGCGATAAGGCTGAACCATATACTAGCATGTGTATAAGGAGTAACAGCTAGTGACTAAAGGTTGACATTAGAATAAAGCACCGTGCTCTTTATTACCCAAGCTAAAGCATTGATGAGACTTGATGGGAATTTTGGAATTACATAGTATTTAAATAGCACCTGCATACATTCGCAATCATATGTGTGTACCATGTGAATGGCACATTGTACCAAAGTCTAAATATCGATTATGTTGTTGTTGTTGTAGCGGCTACAACAACCCCGCCCAGGACGGTTGGTATCTCAGTCGTTGTCATCAAGTTCCACTAACGGCAACCCTAGGAAGCGTGCAGCTTCTGTGGGGTTTGTCCACAGGGACAAGGCCGTTAGGGTTGTCGGGTTTTCCGGGCATGCGAAGAGATGTTTCGAGTCATGTGGGGTCTCTCCGCATGCCGGACACTCATTCGGCACATCCTCATTCAACCTACTCAGGTAGGAGTTCAACCTTCTGCAGTAGCCGGAGCGAAGTTGTGCAAGTGTTGTGCGTGTCTCCCGAGGCAGATGAGGCTCCGTCTCGTCAATGTCCGTGGGTGGTATGTCTAGAACGGCATTCACAGGTCTAGAGTCTACTAAACTCGAGACTGAGTCCCTGTGAATGCCGTTCAGGGCCTGTCGGTAAGCTGTCGGGTCCAGAGGTTGCTTAATGAACCTCTGGACTTCGTCCGTCAGTTCATATAGATGCCTCCTGACGTGCCTAGGCGAGGGCTCCTCAGCAAGCAGCTGTCTGCTTGGGTGGCCACTTCTGTGGCTCCCGATCAGGAACTGCTTGCAGAGCATTATATTGTGCTCCTTTACAGGGAGCATTTGCGCCTCGCCGTGCAGGTGGTGTTCAGGCGACATCAGGAGGCATCCTGTCGCTGTCCTGAGTGGGGTGTTCTGTACAGTCTGTAGCTTCGTCCACTGCGTCCTACTAGTCCCTGGCGACCACACTGGCGCTGCGTAGTTCAAAACCGGCCGGCCTATTGCCTTGTATGTTGCCAGCAACGTTTCTTTGTCTTTGCCCCAAGTACTGCCGGCTAGCGACTTGAGGACCTTGTTGCGGCTCTGTACTTTATTGACAATAGCGGTTGAGTGCGCAGAGAAGGAGAGCAGGCTGTCGAATGTTACTCCGAGTATTTTGGGGTTATTCACCGTCGGAATTGGTGTGTCATCGACGTGAATCCCCAGCGGTAGCCTGACCTACTTCGTCCAGGTTGTGAACAGGGTCGCAGAGGATTTCGTAGGGGAGAGGGCTAGACACTTTGCAGTGAAGAAGCGAGAAAGTTCGGAGAGATAGCCGTTTACTTTCGAACACAGGTCATCAATTCCATTCCCAGTCGCCATGATCGAGCAATCGTCGGCATAAGAGACAATCGAGACTCCCTCTGGTGGTTGAGGGAGCTTTGAAATGTAAAAGTTAAACAGTAGCGGGGAAAGGACACCACCCTGAGGAACCCCCTGTTTTATTTTTCGCTGCTTACTCGTTTTGTCTCTAAACATTACCGACGAATGTCGACCACTCAGATAATTTGCCGACCACCGTTTGAGCCTCTGTGGGAGAGAGGAGGCCTCTATATCTTCTAGTAGCGTGGAATGGCAGACGGTGTCAAACGCCTTTGACAAGTCCAACGCTACTAGAATCGTTCTCTCACAGGGACGGTTTCGGTTAATGCCACGAGTTATCTGAGTGTTTATGGCGTTAAGTGCTGTTGTTGTACTGTGCACTTTACGGAAACCATGCTGATGCTTCGCTGGGGTCAGGTGGTTTGTGAAGTACGGGAGTAGCAAGGCCTCGAGTGTCTTCGCTACCGGGGAAAGGAGTGTTATCGGACGATAGTTGGCAGGTTTCCCCGGTTTGAGCAGTGGGACCACTCTCCCCAACTTCCAGATGTCTGGGATGATGAGAGTGGCCATTGACAAGTTGAGTACCTCCGTTAGGTACGCTACCCCTGCAGGACCCAAATTTTTCAGCATCAGCATGCATATTCCGTCGGGACCCATGGCTTTGGAGGCTTTCGCCTTCCCGATGGCCACCTGAACTTCACCGCAAGTGAAAGCAAGGGGGGCACAAGTTGTTGGCAGTTTGTGCAGCCTTCTGGTCACTCGACGCTTGGCTTTGTTCCCCGGAGGATGCAGTATGAATTGCCGGCTAAAATAGCTCGCGCATCGCTCCGGGTCCGACGAGGCATGGCCGCCGAAGGAAATTTCGACTCTGTCGTCGTGCTTCGTCGGATTAGACAATGATCTCTCGGTTGACCAAAGCTTGCTCACACCAGAGGTGAAATTACAGGTCTTCAGATGCTCCTCCCACTTCTTCCGCCTATGTACGTTTACTAGTTGCCGAATCTCCGCGTTGAGATCCCTGATACGGGGATCTCCGGGATCGGCCTGACGAAGGCTATCACGCTCATCGGCTAGAACAGCCGCTTCGGCAGGGAAGTTTGGACGTGGGTCCGATATACATCCTGCCGGTATGAAGCGAGCTGCAGCAGCAGTGACAGCCCTGCGGAACTTACGTTCACCGAGATGGACGTCGGTTGGTGTGGGGAGCGCTGTGAAGGTGTTTTCGGTAAACTCCGCGTAACCTTTCCAATCAGCTTTAGAAAAGTTGATATAGGTCCGGTGTTTGGCGGAGGCAAAGTCGATTATCTCTTAGCTTGGTGGTGATTCCGGCATGGTTTCCTACCCGGATGTGTTGTCAAACGAATCTTCATGACAGTGACGATGGCACAACGCCGATGCAAAACAGACAACCGAAATTTGAAAAGGCATGACGGGAAATCGTTCTACAATACATCTACCTTTCGAGTTAAGCTGCTAATTCTTATAGTCACAGAAGTAAATTGTATGTAAATAAAACTTTTCAGAATCCTTCAGGTGTAGAAGCAACAAAAATGATTTTGGATTGCAACTTAAAGTGTACGAAAAAGTGGCATGTAATGAAAATGGAAACTGAAAGGAAGAAGCAAAGGAATTTGGACTTGGGATATGAAATTCTAAAAAGCAATGCGAATTTTATGAAAAGAGGCAAAGTTAAAATAAATTAAAAAACAGTTAATATTTCTTGGCGATATGTTATTTTTAATTAATTATATGGCGTATTGTTTGAAATTTAAAAATTGCTGTCAATAAACATATTAAGTATAATATTTGCTCGTCTCTGGCTTGCTGGATTTCCATCGGGAATTTCATCAAGTGAACGGTCGGGTGTTAGTATAGAATTATTGCATGGTGCTGAAACATATGTATGTATGTTTCACAAAAATATACAGGATGTCCTAGACCACCCATCCACCCCGTTAGTTGGTAAAAACCTGTACATATATCCCATTAAAAAAAAGACTTCCGGTCAATTAAATCTACTTCCGGTTGAAATTCAAAGTGGGTAATACGACCAAAAGATAGAGCATCCCCGACATGGATGTTGATTTTTTGTTTGCGTTTTCCAATAAACAACATGTCCTCTATTTTCAAAGTTTTGTTATTTGTAATACATACATATATTGTTAACAAATTCTTCCGTGTTTTCGTTTTCAACGATTGCAAAATTATGTAGGACTGCAAGTGCGACGATAAGTGTTTTTGCATTTTGCAGGGAAACAGTCATGCCGGGCTTGTTCGAGTTGTAATCACAACCGCAGTGTTGCGCGAATTATTAAAGTATCGCGTTCTGTGTGAATTTCTAGCAATGTATTATCAGTTGGGCTGTTGCAACAATGTCGCCATTTTTCATCAATACGGCAGTAATGCCGCTTTTATTACGCGCCGCGAACAGGCCCGCCATCTAGTAAGCAACGAAATATTTGCTTCCAAACGCCAAAACATCTTTCTATTGCAATCCTTGTCCCGATATACGCAATATTGTATCTCTCTTCTTTTTCATTCTGCGGCCTAAGATAGATATGGTGTGAGCTTAT